GGGCAGAGCCTGGGCTCGGGGCCCTGCCACGGAGGGTGAGGGGGAGAAAGGGCTTAGCCAGGCTCCAGGGGGTGTGCCTGGCAGGGGAGCCGAGGGTCTCCAGAGCAGCGGCCCCATGGGTGACAGCCCTACGTCCCGACACCCACTTCTGCCCCTCTTAGCATCACCTGAGACTCATGGGTTGGTTGTAGAGTGAAGCTTCCCTTCTACCCGAGATCTTGAAGATGGCGCACCCTTTGGCAAAAACTTAAAGCCCTCTAGAGTGAACAGTCCCTTCCCTCCTTTTGCCGTCAGGTACTGACTGAGCACTGGATCTGTCAGACCCAAGTGGGCACTGGGACTCCGAGAGCCATCCGGGCCACAACCTTGGCCTTCAGGTGTTTATAACCTCATGGAACTACGAGCCATGCTATTGGACCATGGTTATATATAATACGAAACAGTCTTCTAGGCAGGGGATAAGCACCAGGAGATCAGGACATGTGAGAGCAAGTCAAGTTCAAGTTCTGCTTCTGATTTGCATAATGTCCTTGGGGGAGTCACCGCACCTCTGGGTCTCTGAAATGGGGCTGCAAAGAATACAGACTCCTCCAAAAGCAGGGAGAGGTTATGGGGTTCTAATAGGGTCACGGGTGCAAAAGTGCTTCGTAAACCTCTCAACGAGGGGTGATCTTTCCCCACAGGGGACATTTAGCTCTGTCTAGAGCACCCGGGCGTGCTCCTGGCATCTGACAGGTAGAGGCCAGATGCTGCGGAACGTTCTGCAGTGCGCAGGACAGGCCCCAAATATCAACGGAGCGGTTCAGGAGATCCTGGTTCCAACTATGAAGGGACGTGTTGGTGATTGGTCTGATGCCCAGAGCGAGGGGAGGAGCTCCAGGAAGTGGGGTTTACTCTTTAGAAGAGAGGGAGGGACCCTTTGCAGCTGGAGGTTGGGGGACACTTCCTGGGGGAGATGGGCCGCACCTTTACCTGTGGGGCCCAGCACTGCACATCTGGGCAGGCTCTGCCCATCCCTGGCTCAGTGAATTGCACCCGGAGCGCCAGGCCTCACTGTGCCCACGGTCAAGGGGGTCACTCCCTCCACCCCGTTGCTGGGCACGTAGGCACACAGGAGCTGGGGCCGGAGACGCACACCTGTGGGGAGTGAGATCCGGTGAAGGTGAGATGCCACCAAGCTGCCCTGAAGGGCGCGTCTAGACAACACTCTCTGGCCACCAGGATCTGCCGGGCTGGACCTCCCTGGCTCTCTGAGGCCCGGGCAGGGGCCCTGGTTGAAGAGCAGGGAGGTGGCCTGTGTGAGAGTGCAGGATCCCCACAGAACGGTTTGGGGTACACAGGGCTTGGGAGCAGCGCCCTAAAGGCCCATTCTCTCTGTCATCCCTGTAAACAAGGACACGGCTTCCCCATCACCGCGACGGCGACCCTCAGCTTCCAGTGGAAGCCATGGGGGCCGCTTCCAACGGCGTGCCTAACAGGGCACTCGGCCGCTCTACGTGTGTGTGTTCACACTTGCCTCCCAACTGCCCAGGAGTGGGCGCCACTTAAACAGAGGAAGAACCCGAGGCTCAGAGAGGTTAAGGAACCTGTCCGTGGTCACTTAGCCGGTCAGGGATAGACCGGGGGTGGAACTGCGGGCTCTCTTGGAGACTACCTCACCCTCATCGGTGGTCTCTGCTAGGGCCCTGGCCCGCGCACTGCTGTATTCCTTCAGAAAATCGACAGTCATGAAACCTTAGCTGATCTATTCCCTGACTCTCCCTGGTACTTTCACTGAGAGTCCAGAGAAACGTGCTGAGGCTGGGGCCCAGGGGGCCAGAGAGGCTCACCCAGAACCAGCCAGCCTGGGGCGGGGGACAGAGCAGCGACTAGAACCCCAGCCTCTTAACTACCAGCACAACCTGTGTTGGAGGAAATGTTCAGGGCTATTTCTGAGGCCAGCTGTGGCAGAACCGGGCCTTCTACCGACGGACTGTTCTCATCCATCCATCCGTCCGTCGGCGGTAGGAGCTGCCGCAAGCTGTCAGCTCGCCCGGGGTGCCAGACACAAGTCTAATCAACAGCTTCCAGCTTCTCTGGGCTTGCCCAGGCCTCAGGCTGTGGAGCCCTCCCAGCTCCAGTCTCCGTCCTGCGCAACAGCTGCACGCAGCGGGACACCTGGCCTCCCCGCCAGGCCACCCGCCCTTCTGAGACAACAGACAGCACCGTCTCCTGCAACCGGCCAGCCAGCGACCCTGGACTGAAGCCTAACGGCAGGTACTGGAATGGGGATGGACACCCAGGCACGGCCCCCCTGAGAACACTGCCCGCCATCCTCTCAGGGCCAGACCTCCATGGTAACTCACGCGGGAAAAGGTAATGCCCACTACCTACCGTGCCTGGATGGACATCTGCCTGCCCAAAGCTTTTCCTTCTAGAGGCAGCTTTTGGGTCAGACGCCCCTGCCGTTTACTCGCTAGGTGACTTTGGGTGATGACCTTTGTGATTCCCCCATCTTCCCATCTGTGGAATGGGATTCAGATGATTTATTAGAGAGTACAGTGGGAGTTATTATAATGATGACTATTATTGTCATGATTCTGCCACCTTTAGGCCAAGTCCCCTCTGTGACTGCTCTGGCTCACACTGAACCCTTCCTCTGATGGCGGTAGCATGCACACTGTCCCACCCATCTGTGGTTTTGTCTTGCTTTTATCCAGACCCCAAGGTCCTTGAAGGCCGGGCTGTGATGCTTAGTTCCCTCTGAGCCGGCTCAGTCCCTGTCCCAGGGATGAAGGCTGCTAATTATAAGGCAAATGATCCGGTCTTGGAATGTGCCCAGAGATTGCTTCTCCATCACTGTCTCTCTGGTTTGGTAGGGGTCCCAGGAAGCCCCTCATTCTTCCTGTCTCGGGCTGTGCAGAGACCCTTGGCTCGGAGCCTGGGGTGGAGCAGAAGTGAGCTGGGTCACCCAGAGTCCTGCTTCGTGGCAACCTGAACCATCACCACTGCAGAGAACAGGTTTGCCAACCTCTCTTCTCCCTCCGGGGCCGCCCCTCCTCACCCCGCCGCCTCCGCCCCCCCCGCGACGCAAGCCCGAGAACTGAGCTGTTGGAATTCCCCATGGTTGGCGTGACCCAAAGCTGGGGCTGCCTCTCCGGATGGGATTTTGGGCTTAGATGTGGGGTGGGTGGTGACACCACCTGGGCCACACCGGCTCAACTTGGGGACGGCTTCAGGGAAGCGGGTATGTCACTGTCCGGGAATCAGCACCTGGGTTCAGATCTCCGCTCTGAGTTTGGGTCAGTAGCTTCCCCTCCTGGGGCCTCAGTTTCCTCATCTGTGAAAGGAGCTCAAACCCTAGGTGCCTTTGAAGGACGTTTCACTGTGGATGTTGCTCTCTTCTCTGAAGACCTGGGTTGGAGTCTGGAGCTGCCACTTCTTTCTCCTTTTCGTAGCTTGGTGGGTCACACCTCGTCCTTGTTCTTTCTGATGCTCACGCTCCCTTTGGAGACCGTGGCTCTGAACGCCCCCTTTCAAGGGTCAGCCCCAGATCCCCCCCAACCCCAAGTCCGAATCAGCTCCTTTCCTCAGCTCGGTGACCTCGTCCTTGCTCAGGAGGATGGCCTGCAGGGGTCATGGGGGGGGGAGGGGTGGTGCCCTGTTTTTTGCACACTTTGCCACCGCCCCTGAAGTGTTAATCAAATTAAGGCTCCAAGAAAAACACAAGCTCCACAGCCACTTTGGGCTGCCTGGGAGTCGCTCGCTCTCCCAACAGCTGGGAGAGTTCCACATCACCTCCGTCCCCCCAGCCCTGGGGGGCTCTGACCCCAAGGAACACACTCCTTCCAGCCTGCAGGGACCCTGCTGGCCGCAGTGAGCTCATAGCAACAGCCATTGGACACTCAGGGCAATTTCATGGGAGATATTTGTTCTTTAGTCTTGATGCAGAGAGAATTTTTTCCTCTCCCGCTGTCTCCATGGAAACCCCAGCTACACTGTTGGCTATCCCCCTTCCCACCTCATGCTTTTCAGATCAATATTGGAGCTTGGCTCCCCACTGGCTGCCCACAGCGGATGGGGGCAGAGCTCTGGGCAGAAGGGATTGGGGCCAGGGTTAAGCCTGGGGCCTGGGGAACCGTCACTGATGGGGGGGGGGGGATGAAGAAGGACTTAGAGTCTTCCTGCTTTCCTGTTCATCCACTCACCAAAGCTCATCCCTTTAGAATCCCCCCCCCCCCACCCAAGACCCCCCCCCCCCCCCTCCCCCGTCAGTGAACCTTCTGTCCCTTCCCAGGGAGTCCCCTGAGCCAGGCCCTGCAAAGGAGAAGCAGGTCACCCGTGGTCACCACCCCTCTCTCCTTAGGTGAGACACAGGGAGGTGGTGGGCTGTTGTCCTCTTCAAGTGCTGGGAGGAGTTTCTTCCCGCCCCAGGGAAACAAGGCCAGCGCCCGCCGTGGACTCTCCGAGGCCGAGGCCGGGTGTCCTGGTCCCTTCCTTCCTTCTATCCCTGGCTCCCGCCCCCCAAGCAGAAACAGGTCCCTGCACGCCTCCAGCCCAGCCCGCAGCGACGCGCAGCTCGGCGCGGGGAGCTCGCTCCTGGACTTCCCGGGATTAACCTGCTATTATGAGCCAGAGTCCTTCTCCGTAATGGGCTTCCTCGGCGACCTGTCAGCCGAGCCCGGGGTGCGCCCCAAGCCGCGCACCCCACCCCGGCCGCCGCCCGGCGCTCGCGCCCCTCGCGCTCTCGGGCGCCCCAGTCCGCCTATGGGTGCGGACGCCGCCGCCACCCCTGACGCCTCTGGGCTGGGAGCCGCACCCGGACAGGAGGGGTGCCCAGAGGGAGGCCCGGGCCGTGGCGGCGGCAGCGGAGAGGGCGAGCGAGCCTCGCGTCCCGCCGCCGAGACACCTGCCGGGCGCCCCCGCGCCCGCTGCCCCGCGCCGCCTGGCACCGGCCGGCTGCCCCCGGGGCCTGCCCCGCCCCGCCCCGCCCGGCCCAGCCGGGTCCCGGCCCGACTTACAGCCAGTTGCTCGCGGCGGCCGAGAAGACAGCGAAGACCAGGAGGCGCAGCGAACGCAGGCACGAGCGGGGACTCATGGTGCCGCCGCGGGCGCCCGGCCCCGGGCAGCGGCTCCGACCGCGGGGGGCCTCCCGTCGGGGCGGCAGGTGGGCGCCCCGCGGGCGGGCTGGGGCACGGCGG